CAACTTATGTCTCTGGAGACCTAATTGTTTGGAGGAGTTCACCTCCTGGTAGGAGTATCAGTATCCTGGAAGACCTGGGTTTAAAATGGTCTCAATCTCTTTCCAACTGAATACCCCTGGACAAGTCACTTACACTGAATCAGCCTCATTTTTTCCATCTGCAAAAAAATACTAATTATCTCTTTTTACACTGTCATTGTTAGTACCAAATAAATTTATGTAGTAAATAAAAGTATTTTTTAATGGCAAGACAATGAGAAAGAATGACATGTTATCACATGTGCCGAACACATACATATTCCTCCCAGCTGTGTCACAAACTACTTGCATGACCTTGAGCAAAAACTGTAATCTTTCTGCCACTTCTGTACAAGTATAGAGAGAAAAGAATAAAAAACATTTCAGTTATCACATTGCCCTAACACTATAATAACCCTGGTTATAGCAGAGAAGAAAAGTTAGGTTCTGACTCATTCTCACTACTGTAACTATTAATAGCTCTAGTATGTATATATATATATAACCTACTAACCAAACTAAACAAGTACTATAACTAACTAACCAAACCAGGCACAAACTAAGTCAGTCACACATAGTTTGATAGTTTGTGCCTGGAAGAGTTCTAGCCACAAGCTAAGGGCCTAATATATATCTGTTGAATGAATGAATGCAGCGAATATACATAAAAGTTAACTTTTCTGTAACAAAGTACATGTACAGAAAAAAAAAAGAGAAAAGAAAAAGGGAAAGAGACTCCAAATTACTACTGTAAGGTGAAGACACACACACAGAGTCTAACACTGTGGTTACAAAGTACAAGCTGAAGCCAAATTTCAAAGGATGTGCCCTAAGATAAGTACTCAAACAAAACTAGGAAGAAACTCTTTCAGCAGGTAACAGTGAGAAAAATTTAAAAAATAAAGCCCCTCCTGAAACAAAATCCCAATGTTTGTGCAATATTGAAAAACGACTCCATGAAAATGTCAATATTGCAGACTATCAGCTTAAATAATTGAAGAGAAGCAGGGGGAAACTGAGTCAGACAGAAGAATTTGCTTAGTCTTCCAACAGCAGCCTTTGCTCAACTTTGGGCTGAAGAGGTCATGGAAATCTGCCAGCCCTGGCTTTCTGAAGCTTCCAACTAAACAGAAAAGTTGGAAATTCAGATTTTACATGAAATCGCCCAGTCTTTAAGTGCTGACAATGAATCCATGCAGATAGAGTCAAAAACAAAGAAACATAAAAACCTGATGGACTAGTGGATCCCAGTACAAAAATGGAAATGGAACAGAAGATCAAAGAAAGGATGTGTACTGGGAGCCAACACTGCCCAGCTCTACTTTCTGTCACACTTATTTAATCTACATGTAGAACTACATATCAGTAATGTATGACCCATTTCATAAATTAAAAAAGATTATCCTCCTAACAAATATTTTATTGAAGTTCTGTGATATGCCAGGAACTGAGCCAAGTTTTAGAAACACTGTATAGTGGTAAATATGAGCTTGCCATAAGAAATCTAAAAGCTCAAAAGCAAAAAAAAAAAAAAAGAGAGAGGACAACAGGTGCACTGATGCTTTCTAAGAAGTGTATGGTGTGTGTACATGACTACAGGGATGAGTAAGTGTTTCTTCTAAGTTAGTTGCCCGATTCTCAGGCCTACATTTAAGGTATTATTTTGATTAGTCTAAAAATAAAAGAATAAAATATTTTTTCCTAAGGTCTGAAGTTCAGGAAAATGTTCTAGAAAAAAAAAATCCAGAATATTCTTCTTTACTTAGTAAAGTAAAGCCTTTGAGACTGGAGGAACTTTAGTCAAGACAGTCTCAGGAGAGTATTCTTTTACGGAGTTATTGGGCTATATGTAATGGCACTCCTCTGAGATCAAGGCTTTGAAGAGTATCCTGCCTGACTCACCCCCCTCTAGTACCTGCCCGACTACCATTTTCACCCTGATGGCAGATTGTTGCTTTGTTTTAAAGGCTACTTTAAAGAGCTGAAGAGGCAGGAAAGAGCACAGTGTACCTTAAAATGCCACAAACTTATGGTTCTACCAAGATTTAGTCCTTCTCTTGACTGTTCCCAGAACTACTCCAAGAGTTCGGTAAATTTCCAGAGTCCTGAAAAGCTGATTCTTATAATACTTTTCAGTTTTTTTCATGACTTTTATGGAAGAGAAAATTTTTGGATATCTTTACTAAAGAATTTTTGCTAACATTATGTCAATGATCTATATTTCAGTTAGCTAAATTATCTATTCATAAATGACTCAACCTAATAACAATATATAAAAAGTACAAGCAAATTTTATTGAAATTGCTTGTACTTTTATCTTATTTTCTTTCAAATATAATTTTAAAAGTTTCTTCAATTTGCATTCGGGTGAGTTTAACACAAAATGTAACACCTGGATTCCACACACATTCCTCATACTTGGATAAGTGCACATTTCACTAAGTTTTTCTAATTTAATTTCTTTTTCTACTATATTAACACCAGGCATTAGCAGTGTGGTTATATTAGCTAGTGGTTTCAAAAGAAACCACTCAAAAAATTACAAGCATTTTGAAAAAAATACTCTTCAAAAAACTCTGAACAAAATTTGCAATATACAAACAATTATAATAGAAATGAAAAGTAAGGACGAGGTTTTTAGAATGCCTGGAAATAGCTCATTCCCGAATCAAAAGAGAATGTTTTCATAAAGAAGTCAATTGTGCTTTATACAGAAATCACATTTAAAACTGAGTCATTTCCCTAAAACTATCTAGCTGCAACAACAACTACATCAGATTTACCCTCACAGTTACACTCTGTCCAAATTTTTCTGAATAACTACTGAATGGAAATATGAGAAATACAAAACTAAATTCAAAGAGAATGTGACAAAATTTCTGAGGCTTTAAAAAATTTAATTTCATCCCAATATGTCAGCCTCTTCTCAGAAAGGGCAATTCAAAATATTTATGCAATAAATCATCTTTGATATGTGAAAAAAATACAGAGAACAAAATATATTTACAGGTTCTCATAGATGGAGGTTAGCTAGACATCTTCCTGTATAGGAGGTGTACTTAAAGATGAAAGAAAGAAAATAACTCAGAGGTGGCCAGTGAGGGGAAGAAGGAAGAAAAAAATGGAAAAAGGAAGAACATAAGAAAAATAAAAGACAGATTAAGTGAATACCATTATATTGGCACTGGCTATACTGAATACAAAACTGAGTGTTTTTATATTCAATTACAAATTAAATAAGAATTTTTTCACATGGTTTACCTTCATGTTTTAATATCATAACAATCTATTTGTATTACTTTATTTATATTATACCTCTAAATGTAACTATAATATTTAACAACCAAAAGGAAATACCAACTTAATGAAAAAGAGAAAGCACACAGAGATGAGGATGTTAACATATGTATTATTAGGCATTAGAACAATTAATACTACTCGTCCTATTTCCAGGTCTTCCCCAGTGGCTTAGTCCTAAAGAATCTATCTGCAATGCAGGAGCCTCAGGAGATTCAGGTTCAATCCCTGGGTCAGGAAGATCTCCTGGAGGAGGGCATGGCAACCCACTCCAGTATTCTTGCCTGGAGAATCCCATGGACAGAGGAACCTGACGGGCTATCGTCCACAGAGTCAAAAAGAGTCAGGCATGACTGAAGTGACTTAGCACACACATCCTATTTCCACAGAAATAATGTTCTAATGTGCTGCAGTCCATGCAGTTGCAAAGAGTCGTACATGACTGAACTGAACTGAATGTTCTAAATAAAGGACAAATACACATAACATATTCATCAAGTGGAAAAAGATTTTAAGTTTTGGTTATTTTGGTTATTATAACCAGATTTGCTATGATATTTGATTCCTTAATTAGATTGAAATTAACCTTCAAGGTCATATGAAATATTATTAGTATGCATAATTTTAAAAATATATTCATGTATATACTATATAATTTTTAAGTATTCAAATTGTTTAAAGTCATTAAGTAATAAAAATATTCCATCAAAGTCTACATTGTTTTCAATATAACAGTCACACAATACAGTTAATGCTTTCTGTGTAACACAATGATTTTATGTCACAGTATTTTACTTATGTTTTCATTCTCCATCAGATAATAAGAATGTGGTTTTCAAAAAAAAAAAAAAGAATGTGGTTTTCATTAAGCAAAAGATACGGAATACTTTTATATAATATGTGTTTTTAGATGGTTAGCATTATAAATATTATCAATATGTTTATATTTTAAAACGCCTTACCTAATTTTCACCCCAAAGACTTTATTTTTAATGTATACCATACAATAATTTACTAATTAAAACAATGGTGGGTTATAAAAATCTTCCAATGAGCATCTTTTCTGAAAATTCTCAATAGAGAAAAATTCAAGAATTAAAAGAAAACCTTTGAATGATGACTGATGATATTAATCACAATGGAATTCAAAGGAATTTCTTATAATATTTTAATTCCCTAATGTAGTGAATGAATCATAATAAACTGTTCCCAGTGTTTGATTCAACACTGGTCATTGATTGACACATCAACTTTTACTTCCTAAGTCAATACAAACAAGCTAAGGGCATATTGCAGCAAATCTCTTTATTTATTTATTTATTTTCTTTTTCATATAAATCAATTCTAAAAATGTTGATTCTAGAATCAACTAAACTAAAAATGTTTAGTTTTAGGTTGATTCCTTCAACCTAAAACTCTCCTAAATGCTGAAAACTTCACATTTTTTTTTTATAGAGAAACAGTCAGAGAGGAAAATAATACATTTGTTGTTCATTCACTAAAATCTCTTCTCAATTTCCCCGCTTTCCCCAATCAGACCTAATTTGAAGTCTCCTCCTTCTTCTTCACATATACACTCCTCTTTTCTTAATGACAAGAATGTCCGGAGAATACAACTATACAATATTTAAGATGATGTCTATTCAAGTAGTTTAAGCTGTAGGAAAAATTTCAGAAAGACTTACCCCATTTTTTGGAAAAGCAATCCATCCCAAGTCCCCCATGACAGTCCGTGAATCCAACAAATTCACTAAAAAAGAAAGAACACAAAGCTGTGTGAATTATACAAAAATACATCACCATTTCCATAAAGTTATTAAAAGCACATATTGTTTCCATAACTGAAAGTAGATTAAGTATTCATTATGATGAATACAAGAGTGACAATTTAAAGAAAGCATTATTAGGATGCAAGAGAACAAGAGATTTTGAATAACTATTTGGAGAACAATTATAGCAAAAGTATACAAACAAGTCATTACTCTAAATGTTCTTTTTTTTTTCCTGGTCAAACAAAAATAAAGGGAAAGAGTTAATAAAAAAAAGAATAAGATGAAAGGTCCACAGGAAACTCAAAAGGACCATGTCCTTATTTTTAAAGACTGTAGGTCTTGGGATTAAACTGCAGCCATAAAATTGCAGCTAAGTATACTCTATTTTCTTCTGGAAAGCTGTTATGAAGCAATTAACAAATAATTTACATTAAATAGTAATAAACTATTCCCAAGCTTGTAACATTTTTGTGATATTAACCAAAATCTGTAATCCAAATTGCAAATTTAATTAAGAAATAAATCTACAGACACTTTACCAAGCTTAGAAAATTGTAGCAGTTCTCAAGGTTGTTGCTATAGTTAAGTGCCTGTTGCACTCCCAAAGATACTTTCTACTTATATACAACCATAATCCAAAATGTGTTTCTTACAGAACTGTTTGCTACATTTTTGAAAGACATATCTCAATTACGGCTGAGTACTTTAAAATATTTATGATTCCCAAGACAGAAGTCATCAATGCAAAAGGAAGGAATGTAAGAGTATGTACACACACACGTACCCACACTCACACTCACAAACTTGCACACTCACACACACATACATACATAGATAGATACTCAAGGAGTTTAGATTTTAACAGGTTTATCACCTATCCCTATGAAATTAAAGTAGTTTTGATTTTTCCAGTAGTTATGGACATATGGACGAGAATTGGACCATAAAGAAGGCTAAGCACTTTTGAACTGAGGTGTTGGAGAAGACTCTTGAGAATCTCTTGGACAGCAAGGAGATCAAATCAGTCAATCCTGAAGAAAATCAACCCTGAAAATTCATTGGAAGGACTGATGCTGAAGCTCCAACACTTTGGCCACCTGATGCAAAGAACTGACTCACTGGAAAAGACACTGATGCTGGGAAAGACTGAGAGCAGGAGGATAAGGGTGAGACAGAGGATAAGATGGTTGGATGGCACCATTGACTCAACGGACATGAGTTTGAGCAAACTCCAGGAGACAGGGAAAGACAGGAAAGCCTGGAGCGCTGCAGTACATAAAGTCGCAATGAGTCAGAATGAACAACAACAAATGGTATTAATGTGGTCAAATGTTTTAGACCTAGATGGTAGAACATTATCTTTCAAATATATTATACCTAAACTAACAGGATCTACCTGGCATGCTTTGCAGCTGAACCACTTTGAATGAGGATGGTAGTTGCACCCAAAAGAAACAACTAGGCTAACCCTGGTCAGAGCTACTGAAGCTTCCTTAACTGCATTCAAGAGTCAGTATTTATAATGCCCGCAATTCTCAAAAAAATGGTTCATGGTGGGAGTGGGAGGGAGTCTCAAGAAGGAGGGGATATATGTATACTTGTGGCTGATTCATACTGTTGTAAAACAGAAATCGACACAATAAAACAATTAACCTCCAATTAAAATTGAAAAAATAATCAGGAAAGAAATAAATAAAAAGACAGTTTTATCTGCAAGGGTAAGCCTAGGGTACTAAGGGTTTAACAACTGATAGACTGAGAAATGCGTTATAAAATTGTACAAGAGAACATAAAATAAAATTATTATGACCAAGGAAATCTGGATCATAGCAGAAATGGAATGTTCCAATGTCCTACAGAAATTATGTGCATTTAGCCCTTATTATGAGAAGGAAAATGGCAACACATTCCACTATTCTTGCCTAGAAAATCCCATCAACAGAAGAGTCTGGTGGGCTACAGTCTGTGGGTCATAAAAGAATCGGACATGACTTAACAATGAAACAACAACGACCCTTATTATCCATTGCTTTATTTCATATTACATATGCAAGCATACATATGTTACACACAAAGGTAATAGTCTATATTAAATTATTAATGCAAAATAAGAAAAAACTTAAAAACCTTAGAAAACACAGATATACTCAATACTGTAACATACAACTGTCTATTTTCATTAAGTTCTGAGCTCTTTAACAATAAAAATGCATGTCTACAGAATGCTTGTATTAACTTAAACCTACATACAATAAGGTTTTTTCCCTAAATTATTTATATAATTTGCAGAATAATTATTGCTTAGAGGAAATTGACCCAAACAAAAAAACTGTTGTTTTAAAACAACAAAAACCAAAACCAAACAAACTCAAAATATTCCACCACCTTCTAACCTTGCAAACCTTCCAGTCACCCCACTAAATCTAATTTTTCAGGTATATTTGAATTTTTTTCTTTTAACTCTACTGTTGGCTCTTTTGGTTTCTATGGGAATTAGGCTACATTAAACTGAAACGTCCTTGTCCTCATTTTAGTCTTTTCTGGGTCATTAGGGCTGTGTCTAGACATGACTAAATATCAGGGGAGTGCAGAACCTAAATAGTTCTGTTTATTCATCTTTATGAGTCATTTTATTCACCTTTGATACTGAGCAGTAGCATATCTGTTTGGACTAAAGTAGAGCAAATGAGCTAACTAAAGGTGTTCTACTGTGAAGGCAGCTAAACTGAACTTAATTCTGTGACGACAAAGGAATGTGCATAAGAATTCGAGGATTCCTAATTAGCCTGCCATGAGAAACACAGCACTCTTTGTAAACTTCTTAATATGTGCAATTTGAAATATTCATTATTATCAACACAATTCCATGTGTCTAAAATTTAGTTACTCTCATTTGAATTAACCTTAATCAAAATGACTATTTTTACACTTTGTGGTTTAGAAAATATACATATATGAAAATAAATGAATGACCTCAAAATAATAGCTCTGCTGCTAATATCATTTATTGGGAGTTTTCAATATTGGGACGTGTTACTGAATACTTGAAAATAACTACAATAGGAATGCATGCTGCCTTTCTTTTGCTGGTCTTGTCAAAAGATTTTCTTCAAATAAATAGATTAGGAGGTTTATGGGAAATACATGCATGTCACTTTTCAGTGCTGCCTAAAATTGCTTTCCTCCTAGAAACAGATGATTTCATAAAATTCATAATGCAAAGCACATATTTACATATACCATTTTTACTGAACTGGAAATTGAGGGAAAAAAAGAAAAATTAGGTGTTTTAGGTAATTACCTGCAGACTACTATGTTATAATTTTGTTCATATAATGCAGAGTAAATTGGAATTTGATGCCTCAAGGAAAATAACTATCTAAAATTAGATCTACATACAATTAGATAGAAAGATAGATACAAATAGAGAGTATGAGAGTTTTCGCAAACCTCCAAGTTTTGCACATGCTGCTTTAGCTCTCTCAAATACCCTTCTCCTTTTGTGAACTGCTAACTCTTCATTTGTACTTCAAAACGTATTTTAGTAACTGCCTTCCCAGGAAACCATCTCTGATTCTCCTTTTCCTAAATGTGGGTGAGGTAATATTACTGAATATTTCATTAACACCCAATTCTAATCTCCGAATCATGGAATACACAAAACTGTTTTGTTCCCTTAAAAGAACACCATGTTTTTACTCACGCCTATGAAAATAGCCTGCACTCAGAGCATATGTACAGTTGTCTGTTTTATGAATGGATCATTTGGTCAATGGGCAGATCAGGAGGGTGTGGCTGAATCAACACACACCAGTAGTTCTCAACATGGGTATCTAATAATGTCTAGAGATATTTTTGATTGTCAAAACTGGGAAGTAGGGGAACATTTTCTACTGGCATCGCATGGTTCTGAAGAAGCCAGGCATGCAACTGACTAAGTAAGCATCCTTCAATGCACAGCAAAATTCTCCTACCCTCCAGGAAAGACTTATCTGGCTCAAATTTCACCAATACCAAAGCTGAAAGACCCTAGTATACACCTACAGTGTTACTATAAAATGTCCACTTCCACAATTCCTTGCACAATACATCAGAGGCATGATCTTCATTAACAGAAGTTAACATATTTGGAAGAATTTCTTATGAATCAAAATACTACTCCTATCTAGGGAAATGAAAGCAATAAAAATTATAGCCTCATTTAGAGAAAAAAAGAGCATTATGAATACCCAATACTTCTAAATTATTTTAGTAACCAATGTAATAATTATTACAAGTATAATTATTTACATTTTAATAATTTCTGAACATTCACGATGGTATGCATGAAAAAGTTTTATGCCACTAATATTATCAGTGCATCCTCCATTACTTAAGCTACTAACATAACACCAGTTTAGACATAGGATATAAATAAATATGAACTTTCAGAATTTCCTTTTCCAATTTCATTACTGAATTTATTAAAAAAGGGTTTGGCAGTAATGGAGCCCAGTCTTCTGTACTACAATTACAGTAATTAAATTGCTCTGAACAGTATATATGCTTGTTGTAAATTGCAATGAATACACAATGAGTATTGATCTTCATTGTACAACTTAATTAAAACTTGTCCGGGAGAAACCACTAATGAATATAATTAGAGGAAATGTTTGATACCACATTTACTCTGAAGGACATTAATTAGATATCAGAAATTTTATGGAAAATGTTTTTATTCAATTATTTAGATTTTACAATAAAGTTACACTATCAAACTGAGAGAGTCTTTAAGGTCATTTTCCCTCAGTCACTGTACATTTAAAATGAAGATGGGCATATTGGTTGGTACTCTAATCAGTAACTAAGAAGACTGATTCTCCAAGAGAAATAACTCTACAGAGGTTAGTAAGTATTCAGTCTACTGCAAATACCTAAAGTTATCACGGGAAAAACAAAGACTCACAAATATAGGAACTTTTTAGTAAGTAAAAATCAG